ACACACATATATACGTCACAGTGTACAACACTTTTGTCAGTCGCCGAGTCCGCCTCGGGCGCGACGACGGATCGGTTCCTTCGCTCTTAGGTCGTAAGACGCGTAGACGCTTTACATCACGGCGTTACACTGCGGCTATACGTCGATACAGAGAAACGGATAATCCCCCGTTCGCGAGAGGGACTCGCCACGAGAGTCCGCGTCGAGCTTCACCTCGAGGCGGGCAGGTGCTCGTCTCCTATAGCGATACAGCATCCTTTTCATCGCGGCGTTACTCTCGCCTCAAGACACGGCTGAGATGTTCCTCCCGGTGACATTGTTGACCCTCCGCCACATGGCGCTTCGCATATGGCGCACGTTCCCGTACTCGTTTATTTTTATATATTTCGTAGATGAAATTCGGTACGGGGAGAGGGGCGGGGAGTGCTGGGTGTGCGTCTCCCGGGCGTCGACAGATTGACTACGGTTTGACTCGCGAAATGCACCTGCCCGCGATTCAGCCGGAGCTCGAGCGAGAATGTGAGCCGAAATTTCGGAGAGGAATTTCGTTATTCGTTTGGATCGATATTTTTGTTGCACGAAAAAAGTAACAAACAGATTGCAAGTATAAGTCTAAATTTCCACTCGGTGGATACTCGGTTATCTTCTGATTCTCGACAAGTTCTTCAAACGTCCATCAAAACCGGAAAAATGATTTATAACAAATGATTTCACATACCTTCTGAATATGCATGATGCCTCGCTATCCACGTTCGGCGTCCTGTATTCTCGGTCCTTTATCTTGGCTCCCGGCTGCTTCGTCGTAATATCGCGTGATATTCACTTGCGACACGGACACGCGCGCGTGACAGCGAAAGAGAGAGAGACAAAGAGCTCGATGGAATATTCCAAAAACCAACGGAATATTTTAATCGCCCGAGGTGAATTATAACGCACCGATACATGTGCTCGGCGTCGCTTCCCAGCCCGAAACATAATAATTCAGGCGCGAAAAAAGTCGAACGCACGACCAAAACAATAAACAAAGAGAGAGTCACGCTATCACTCGTCGATCGCCGAGCGACGTCCCCCTTCCTTCTCCCCTACCAACGGTCGTGTGTCGAAACACAATCGACACTTCTAGAACATCAAGTCTATTCTACAATCGCCGTAAGAATGTGCAGTAAGATGTAAGCAGTAAGCAAATTGATCAGTTACAGTCGGTTATTCTTGGACTGTGAAGTCCATTCTACAATAGCCGTAAGAGTATGCAGTAGGATGTAAGTAGTAAGCTGATTCATCGATAGGATTCTTAGAGTCCAAGAATAATCGACTGTCGTTGGTCAATTAGTTTACTACTTACGTCTCACTACATACTCTTACGGCTATTATAGAATGGGCTTCAGAATCCCATTGATCAATTAAGGTAAATATCCCAGTAATTGAACAATGTTTCAATGATTGATACATTAACAATAGATTTATATTTGACATTTCCAAAAAAAATTTTTTGAGATTTTGCTGAAGGATATTTGTTTCTGTTTTTTTACAATGTTATTCGATGAATGTTTAATCGTTAGTTAATACATAAACTAATCTATTGTTAATGTATCAATCATTGGGATATTATTTATTTACTGGGACATTTTCCTTAACTAATTTGCTTACGTCTTACCGCATGCATTCTTACGGTTATTGTAGGATGGGCTTTGCAGCCTTTAAAGTGCTTACTTTCGTGTATCCTCGTACTTTTCCAAGTGTTCCCTCTACACTTGAAGATTTCTAACGACGTGCACGTGAAACACATGTACCGGCGCGTTAATTATCGCTTCCGTCGGGCGACTATAGCATTTCGTCGACTCTTGAAATATCGAATCGGTTCTTTGTTGCCATCGCGATTCTCGAATTGCTGTGCTCCATCTGCAATTAAGAAGATTGCACAATTAATACATTGTTTGTCGGAAATTAAGAATAAAGATCAAATGGAATTGAGAGATAATGAAATATGAAATAAATTCTTAAATATTTAACGTCGTAAAATAAATTCTTCTTTAAGCGTCAATTTAGAGGAGATGGCAGTTAATAAATATTTGGAGCATCAAAGTAAGGCACACAACAGAGATCGTACAATATTATTCTCGAGATTCTCCATTAATTGCTCAAGTTTGACGGAACTTGTGCAGGGTTAATACAGCACCGAAATTCCACTCAGGGTCCGCTCGACGTTCCCTTCAATTTTCACGGGCTCGCTAACACGAGACGATCTCTTTAAATACGCACGGTAGATTCAAAGATCCTCCGTAGGACGTGCATCGACATGAAGCGTCTGGCAAGCAGGTGGTCCTCGTAAGTGCTAATAATATATATAAATAATGCTACACGACACAACACTAGAGAGAGACGAGTAAAATCGTATCTCTGAATTCTCCCTTAATCGCCGCGAGCGTTCTCTCCGTATGTGGTAATAACGATCGCCGATTATAATTATTCTACTTGCCGGCCGTATATGATGAGATAGCGAGTCGTGACGTAAACCGTTCATCGCGACAAATTGCATCGCGAAAGGCTTACGGGGACGGGCGAGCCGTAAAAGCGATCGTGCGCGGAGCGTAAAGTGCGGTCCCTCCATGGTAATAGACGTAGTTTAATCAGAAAACTGCAGGGAAACGGTACGGGCGAATACCCTCCATTGCTAGAATGCGGGGGCATTTAAGTAGATGGAGGGTATAGACCCCTGTCTACTCCATTTGCCTTCGGCCCCGGGGGGATCTCGCCGATATATATCCCAATATTCCTCGTAACAATGATGAATCACTGCTGAGCACCTCTTGCGCAAGAAGTTGCACTTCCAATGCGCTCGTAAGGTCTCTCTCCTTCTCTCACTCTCACTCTCTCTCTCTCTCCCTCTTTCTCACACATACACACACTCCACTCTCGGGATACCGCGCGACGCCGCCTTTACCGCCCGATACGTTTCTGCACTTTGCGCGGTTATGCAAACCTGATGTAAGTCATTCGCCCGGGCGAACACGCTTCCTCATTGTGGTGAATTCGCGGACTCTCCGACAATCGCGGACTCTCCGACAATCACGGTGATCGCTTTTGTGCTGTAATAACGTCGAGGGACGACGCGAATTTATTTTGCGGCGTCGCGGCGAACGTCGTGCCGTAGGAACAAGACGTTTCGTGATTTAAGAGTAACGGATAAAAATGCGAAAAGAACAGCGTCGTGCGATTCTATAGGTTTTACGTAGAACGTGGGGCAACTTTATCTTTTACCCCAAGTAAACATAAATGTTGCTGCTCCTCAATATCTCTTTCTTTCTCTCTTTTCCCCTTTGACCTAATATTTTTTTCATATAATTTTATTTAAATGCATTAAAATAATGTTTTTTCTGACTGTGAGTAATTACGCTTTAATAGACGTTGAAAGAGAAGTCGATCGCGACGGCTAACCAGCATTGGACATTAAATATCTGGGCGACAGGACATACGTCATAATGACGAATCTGTTCGGTACCGAGCTTGGTTAGTCTTATTAATAAATTCTCTTCCCAAGCGAGCGAAGAGAGAGAGAGAGAGAGAGAGAGAGAGAGAGAGAACGAGAGAACGAGAGAAGGAGAAAGAGAGAGAAGGAAAGAGAGAGAGAAACGTACTATGAATCATTCGATAGGCAACAAGGGAGACTCTCTATTAGACTGATTGGTTTGCATCTCCACGGTTGAATCTATGCCGATACATCTTTGTACCAACCATGCGCAAAGTGCAACTGTCTCTTTTGATAGATATGACCCGCTTGATAAAGAGCCCGCGACAAAGATTCACTAACGACCGATTGCATCGTGCCAGAGAACAATGCATTGCCGATTCGTGTTTCCTTCTCTTTTTTGCTTCAAAAAGTGGTGTGTTACACCATTCTCCTTTTTAACGCTCGCTTTTTGTCGTGCCAGTTTCACGTTTCCGACACTTAATCCCCTTCCTAACCTAATTCCTTCCCCCCGGGTCGGTTTCATTAAACCAACTCTCCAAATACGGCTAATCTGCAGAACTTTTTTGTACCCTCGAAGGAGTTAACAGCAGGATGTAGGCAACCGCAACAACCTAGCTTACGTTAAAAACATACTACGTTCCAGATAGGATTAGCGCGCCCTAATTTATTGACTCCGCTGTTAGCTCGATCCCCCCCGCGGTTTGACATTAAAGGTTATCCCGAGGGGCGACCCTTCGTTGGGGAAGCGCGAGCCGAAGAATGCATGTTATTACGCTTGTAATCAAGTCTGACAAAATACCTGACACGCGGCGGTCTCACCCCGGACGATCCGGTGAATTACAAACCCGAAATAAGCAAGATCTTGTAAAATCAATTCACGCACGATGCGTGTACAACGGTTACTAACCTCGTCAAATTTGAACTACTATACAGAGTATCTGTGACGTCGTTTTCGAGGAACTCGCGCCATCTTACAGACATCGCGCGAACCTCATAACGCGACCGTTATATTCGTAACGACAAATTCGTCAGCGTTATGAATAATGTTTAGTTATTCGCCTTGAATTTTGAAAGACACATTCCTATGGAAATGCATTTCCACGATTATTATTTATGTTGATTTGAGACCAAACTCACCGACGGAAGGTTACTACTCCGTTATTGCGTGTTCTGAGTTTGATTTAATGCTCGATCGCGGGCCGAATGTCCGACGAAAGTTCACGTCGGAATTTACGTTTCAAGTGATCGAAAGACGTGTACTTTAATAGACAACGGGAAGCTTGCAAATAGACTATCAGTTTGATAGGTTACATATAAAGGAGCATGAGATATACCTTGAGATAACAGCAGATTCGTCGGAGCTTAGAAAACGCGCAACCTACCGCCATTCGCGTTGCAAGAAAAGACCCGTTCCGCCTAAAAAGGTTCAAGTATCGGCTAGGCGACTGGTAGTTTCGAAGTCTCCGTTACGAGCCGCCACCAACCTTACAACGATTTAGGGTCGCAATGCAATTCAACGACACAACGCAGTTGCCCCTTTATTTTTCTCAAGTAGTATGACTCAGTGGCTGGACAGTCGTATTTTTCTCTACCATACGAAGTATGACCATTCAACATCTTTCAATTGAATGTTTATATTGAATAATTATTTGTATCAATAATGTAAGACATGCTTTTGAAAAAGATAACTTTAAATTTTCATTTATGTTTTAATATTGTCTATTAATTCGTTTACCTCCTGTGCATTTTCAGCCATGAGAAATATGTAGAACAATTGGTTATGGTACTTCTTGTGATGTGTATTGCCGCGTCCTATATGCAAAAGCCATTCCACAATCTGTAATTCGTGATAGAATATCGCCTGAAATATTGAAAGAAATTATGTCAAGAAAGAAGCATAATATATCGTATATTAAACCGGACGAACCAAAATTTCTCCGAGATCTAAAAGAACAAATTGGATACAAAGAAGGCCCCAATGTCGATACAAAGGTAAAATACTTGTAAGATTCTTGTCACTGGTTTAACAGCTAAGTAACTGTTTCTTGTAACATTTTACATAGATTTTGTCTTATAACATCATATAATTAATTATTAATAATATTTTCATAAAAAGACAGCTTGTATAGGTAAAATATATGAATGATTTGTTAAAACAGAGAGAAGCGTTACCAGAAGTCTCTGACGATGAGAAGGAGGAGTTGGCTGATGAGAAGCCTGTTGTGGTCGTACTTAACTCTGGTGATTTGACAGCAGAAGAGGTAGATGCCTTTAAAAAACAAAAGGAAGAAGGTATGATAACAGAATTAGACAGATTATTCTGAATTTCTATTAGGTAGTCAGTATTGTAAGATGGAACACTGATAAGTACAAGACTAGTTTTTAAAATAATATAGTTTTTCACATTTTAAAATGATAAATTAATTGCAGAGGAAAGTAATGCTCCTGCTGATCTATCTAAAAAGGTTATATTTCGCAAGACTAAATCAGCAGAAACAGAGTCCGATACAAACACTACAGATAAACCAGCGAAAAAGAAAGCCAAGAAAGCAAAGCAACCTCAGAAGATTGTCTTGTCCTTTAATGCTGATGATGATGAAGACAATGTTGGATAACATTAATTATATATCTTTATTCAAGTGTATATAATATCTATAAGGAATTTATATTGTATATAATAGAACACATTTAAACTTTATAAAATTTTACAAAGATTACATAAGAAATCAGCCTCAAGATAATTTTAAGGCAGTCTTAAGTAAATAAAAAATTGCACAACAGCATATGAAAAGATTCTATTAATAAATAAATATTTTTATGATAAAAGCATGTTAAATATCTTTAAGGTACTTAAGATATCTTAAAGATATTTAACTTTTAAGATTAAATATCTCAATACATGCTGCTTGAACTTATATTTATTAATATAAATACAAATATTAATATATTTATTAATATACAAATATTAATATATTTATTAATATACAAATATTAATATATTTATTAATATACAAATATTAGTATATTTATTAATATACGAATGAGCAATATTTTATATATATTATTAAGAAAAAAGCAGTGCAATATCATTTGAGATTGTACAAATAATCGATTTTCTTCCACTCGACAAAATGACCAAAAAATGAGAATTCAGGATAGATTATTTAATAGAGGATTTATAATTAGACGGAATATGTATGTTGGGCATAAAATAGTGTCATGATTAATACGAAATTGCTGAATAAAGAGAACCGATGAAAGTTCACTTTTATACAGCACATATCAGCCAATACTTGATAATTGGCATCTATATATATTATTTGCAATATATACTGCGCGCAAAGTATCGATCGCAACTGTACTTTATTCGCAACAATCGCAATATTCGAGAGAAAAAAGCATTCATATTGCTCGAATCGTCGACGTTCTTAAATTTCGAACGACCTGCGTGACGAAACGCACCCTCGTCGTCAACGCGGCATTGTAAAAAGGGCGGGTGCTCGGCGATCGCGCGAACCCCGTTCACGCCGCCGTGATTGCAAATTGCCCTTCTTATTTTTCGGGAAGCACTTCTCCCATTGGACGTGCACGTGCAGCCGGTCACGTGACCGCATGCAACAAACGCCACTGGGCCGTCCGACGGTCCCTTTAACATCTAGCGAACGTCATAAAACGTCGCGGGTCACGTGACGGCGACGTGCGCCATCTTGGCAGTTTTCGACGACGGTGGTAAGAGGTGCGAGCGGATCGGTGACGTCGCTGCTGAAATAAACATCGGGTGCATGCGAACGGATCCCCACGGCTATCGCGCGATACGAGCAGCGGCGTGTATCGTGGGCAACGTGTTAGCCGCGTGTGCCGCCGCAGGTGTTCGCCGGTGCGCCCAGCTGAACGGTCAGTGTGAATTTAAATTTGAGCGCGGCAATCGGACGCGTGTGTGCGAGGCGTTTGTCGTCGTCGTCCGGGGGGGCTAACGCGAGCCACACTCGAGTCAGCGGCAGCTGTTCGACGGGCACGTCGCGGCCGTCACGTAGAAATGGCGGGAGCTCGCTGCTGGCTGCCGTGGCGTGCGCCGAGCGTGGCTTCGACGGTGACGCGTGTGTATGTGGGAGTGCGTGTGAGTGAGAGCGTGTGTGTGGGTGTGAGCGAGAGATGAGAGCGCGTCGTGAGGAGCGAGCGGGAGTACGTCCCGCTCGCGCGATTAGCATGTATCAATTGATCCTTTGGATATTTTCTGTGCTTTCCTCTCGCAGAGCACACGTTCGTGACACGAACAGCGGCGCGGAGCGGAGCGGAGCACCATGCAATCAGGGCCGTGCGCGCCCACAGGGTACCCCGCGCCCTCGTCTCGTCTCCCTCCCCCGCGACCGCGAGATCCCTCCTGCCTCGCTCTCCTGTGCGAACGAACTCGCGTATATGCACCAACCTCCTCTCATTGCGGCAAGGCCGTAACGACACTCTCGTGTCGGTAAACAATGCCAGAAATCCTAAGTGGTAGCTAGGTAGGGAGTTTTGGTCGAAGTCGTCGACAGTAGCGTCTTCGCGCCGGCAAGATCCTGGGGTCCGCCCGAAATTAGTCCGAGGATAATTTCGTCATCTCCGCTAGTCGATAAAGTTATCCGTAAAATTTCGCGATGATGACGTTGCTCCATTTCGTTGGTTTATTTCGACATGTGGCAAATTTAGAGGAACAATTTCTCTCGAAACGATCGAGAAAGATGACGTTTCCGCGCGTGAATTCTGCCTTCCTCCGACGACTGCTCATTGCAATTTTTATTTTTTTCGTCGGTTGTTTATCTCGTTACAGTCGATGAGACATTACACTGATGACGTGACATTGACTGTAATGCTTACTAATGTATGTATGTTAATTACTACTAATGTTTTACTAATAACATTGTGTGTTAACACTGAAGTTTTACATGCGAGACCGTTCCAAACACGCGGAGCCACGGTAAAAGTATAACGACGATTGAATTGCGCGTGTCAAAGAGACGTGGTGAAATCGTGAGAAACACCGCCTCTTCCGACGCATCTCCTCCGCTTCCTGCTCCGCGCGTTGCTTCTCGCCCCGAAGGATCGTGAACGCCATAAACACGCCGCGTTCCTGCGTCGTTCTGCTTCTCCTCGTAAGAGTCTCGTCGTCGAAAGGGGGGAAATCAAAGCGATTGACTTCGCGATGTCCCGATTAATTGCGCCGATGTAGGGCTCGTCTTCACGGCAGGGAAGCGCCGCGCTAACGTAATCGACGCTCGCATGCGTGATGTGGTAGGCAAATAATTTTTCGTGTAATTTCGACGAAGCGATCTCACAAAGGCGCGCGTGAGTTAGTCACGAGGGTATGCATTATTGAAATACGAGGATTTGCGATAACATTGGCGACATTTTCGCCAAGGCGAGATCGATCCCGAGTTACCTAATCTATCGTTAAAATTAAGCGAATAATAGGACGGCTCGTTTCTCGGCAGAAGGTATAAATCATTAATTTTCGTGCGTTATTCGTTAGAGAAAGAGAGAAGAGAGAGAGTATACGATTCCGCGATTGGACGCACAGTCGACGATTTCGAGGCAGTGTTCCACTGTTGCGACAAAAGGATAATTTCGCATGCCGGGATTCAAGGCACTCACTTAACGGTTTTATTATTACTTTTATTACGGCATTGATTTTGCGTGTAAACTTGGCAACGCTGTGTTGTACCGCCAGCGCACAGTAACGATTTCAACAGTTAAAACCGTCATGCCGACAAGACGAGAACCCGAAATTGATTTCAAACGAGTGCTCACCCTCACGCACACGCAAACGCACATCGCTCGCTGTCGAATGTCAGGCTCGCGAGGAGACACACGAAGTACCCGGTATACTAAGAGAAGTTCGCTCGAACCGGAAATATTCCCCATGATCCCCATGGGATCCCAATGATCCTTAACTGTAGCTCTTGGATAACTTCTAATGTACATAATTAGTAGACAGATCTAATAAATTTTGTATACAGGACGAGAGCACAAAAGAGAGCTATTTAAGAGTCGCGAGATACAATGCAAAATTAACCACTTTTCTTTTGTCAGATAAGAGACTCTTGTCGGATTTTGTCAGACTTTTGTCAGATGAGAGACTCTTTGTAAAATATGTCAAATCAAAATAGTTTTCTCCACATTATTCATTCTTTTTATACAAATAATTCAAGTAAAACAGCGTATCCTGATGAAACCGTACCTATTTTGTTATTTCTCGTTATATCATTCTATTTAAGATAAAGGTGCTTCCGTGATATCTAAAATAAATCACGAAATATATTCTCCCCGTAAATCGGGGAAGTGGTTAATACGCGGGTCGCAACAGACGTATCCAGCAACGACCCCTCCTAAAAGCAACCTCTCTTTCGCTCCTCTCTCTCTGCCTCTCAACCTCACCGCCTCGTCCTCTTCCACCACCTCCTCTCTTTCTCCTCGTTCCATCGTCGCATCTCCTACAATAAAAAAAAAAAAAAGATAAAGAGCCGCTGTAGGATCTAACGCGCGGGGGACGGCGCTCGTACAATCCTCGTATTACGGCCCTGGGCATAACTTTTTAACGCTTCCCATCCGTCGCTCCTGCCCTCTAGTGTGTGTGCCAATCGTCAGCGATGAATGTTCACTATTTACAGGTTTTGTGAATAAACCGCGTAACCGTGCTCAGTTTGTGCGTTCGAGTACTGTCGGGCTGTCATTACTACGCGCAGCAGCGATAGCAAAAGCGGAAGACCAAACGACATCGTCGTCGCCAAGGACGAGGAACGTGTGTGCGAGGATGTCGCGCCGTCCGACGCTCGCGTAGGAGAGCCCTGCCGTCGTCGTCGTCGTCGTCGCCGTCGCCGCCACCACTGCCGTTGCCGCCGTCGCCGTCTTTTCCTTGTTCTTCGTCTCTAAGGTACGTGTATCGTACATTGTGACAATATCTCTTCGTTACGGGGTGAAACTGTCGCGTGCCGGTTCTAAAGAAACGATCGGTTGACTTGAGAGAGAGAATGAAAAAGAAAGAGAATGAGAGAGAGAGAGAGAGAGAGAGAGAGAGAGAGAGAGAGAGAGACGGTCAGACAGTGAGGGGAGGAGGGGAAGAGGGTGTGTGTGGTAAGAGAGAGGGGGGAGAAGAGAGAGAGAAAAAAGAGAAAATTTACTGATTGAATCTCGAAGAGAGTAAGAAATCGAAAAATTAACCTCAGAATTTATCGGGAAAAGTGACTTCCGTATGTGGGGTAGCGGTAATTCTGTTCGCGTCGTGTGCGCTTCCACGTTTATGTTCGTAGCCTTTGTGCGCTCGAGATGAAACAGACCTAGTGTGACTCCGACTAGGAGATGGCAAGTGATGATGTGTGTGTACATATATATGTGTATACATATATATGTGTGTATATATATATATATATATATATATATATATATATATATATATATGTGCGTGCATATATGTACAAAGGATCCAAAAAAACACGCAAAGCGAACCGCTCTCGATGACGGTTCCCTTGTTCCTCATCCCGGCCACGTTACTTGCAATGTACGAAGTGCATGCAACGCGAAGCTATCACCAGGCGTGCGTGTGATCACGACCTAAGTGGCACACGGCCGCGTTGTCGTGGACGGGCTTTTACGCGCGTCTCTCTCTCTCCCTCTTTCTCTACGCTTCTGCGCTCTGCGAAGTGCGCGTCGTTGCTGCCCTCGGCGTGTCTCGAGTAGTGATGCCTCGCTGAGAAAAGAAGAAAAAGTGCATCTTCTCGACGAATCGCCTTTTCTCTTTCCCGACGGATTTTCGAATTCGCGCGATTTCTCGCTGCATAGGGAAACGTCATCGTGGTACGCTCATTTGCCCTTCGCGAAAAAGAGCCGAAGAGTCTCGCGGTCGAAACTGCGCTCTCGCCGGCGGAATGTAAACTCGACGCGGTGAACGGCGCCGGGAGCTGTCGTGCTCGCATACAACGCGTCTCCTGCACTTTCTACACTTTCGGCGTCGCGTCGCGTGTGCGCGACGAGGGCGCAAGGTGCAGGAGAGTGTAAGAGAGTGCATACGACGCGAGCGACCTGACGATACCCTCGAGAGGGCCTCGACCTCCGCGACCGACTCCAGCTCGAACGGGTGTTATATTAAGTGCTAGTGATACCGTCGGCGAAATCTCAGCTCGCGCCCGAGTTGGGAATACCGTCGTCGGAAGTGACACGAAGAAGCGGGATTCTGTACACACGTCTGTGAGTACCGCATCGACGAGACATCCGAACCGTTCCTCGACCGGTCAGATTTTCGACGACTAGGCACCCATCTTTCGGCGTGTTCGCCAAATTCACATCAACCTCTCTCCAAGGAGCCACGAGTTCTCGGGAGAATCTTTCCCGACTCGATTTGCTCCGGATTTCGCTATCTTGGACGCATCGCGCGTACTATAACCTCTATCGAAGCCGCGCGCACGTCGATGTCATGTCGTTCGCAGCTGAATTCTCCGTTCTCCTTCCCCGCCCTCTCGTTCCACATCTCCTCGAGCGGGAGATGACAAGCGACCGAATGGTCGCAGCGCACGCTGCTCCTCTCCGCTTTCTTCTCTCGCGACGCTGAGCGTCGTCGCGAGATTCACGACGACGCGATTATCCGGTGATCAGTTCGCCTCGTGGATTCTCAGTGATCTACTCGTCATTATTAATGTACATTTCTTCGGAAGCTTGCGCTCGTTTATACTCGACGCGTAATTGACATATCGTCTTGACATCGTTATCTTCATCGTCGTTGTATCTCGTCTTCATCGTGTTCAGCATGTACGGCGTTTCGCTGGGAAGCTCTGCGCGCGCGCGCACGCGCTTGCGAGCGCACCCGCTGCGTACATACGTACACACACACATACGCGCAGCGAAGTCTCTTCGAGTGTAGGTGTAGGAGGTTGGTAGGTTGTGCGAAGGTTGAGAGAGGAGAGGCGCGCACGGAGGGTCGAGACCGACCGACCGACCGACTGGCTAGCTAGCTAGCAGACAGGCAGGCAGTTCGGCTAGCTAGCGAGCTGGTTATCCGTCTGACTGATTAACGTGGATATTAAAGCGGTGTCTAAGCGAACACAGGTGACTGACTAGGAGACGACGCTGTTTTTTCGCGAGAGTGAGTGAAGTAGTCTCTGAGCTAAGACTCTGATAACCCATTGGTGTGTTCGTTCATTCGTCCGTCCATCCGTTTGTCCGTCCGTCCATCCATCCATCCATCCATTCGTCCATCCATCCATTCTTCTTACCGTCCGTCCGTCCGTCTGTCTGTCCGACCATTCGTTCGCGTGTGCGCGCGTGTAGCACAGCAAACCGTGTACTTGCTCGCACGCCGAGAAGAGAGAGCGAAAGCGGAGCCTCAGACGACGCCGCGGTCGTCATCACCGTCGTGTTCGTTCGACGCTGCCGGAGCACTTCGGAGTCGTCTTCGGAGACTGCCCGTTACGTCAGGAATTCTCGTCGGAATTTTGTTGGTTATGGGAGTGAGAGCGGAAGCAAGTGCGGAATTCACAGCGCCATTTTGAAAAATTCGGCCCCGCTAAAAATTCCTTCCCTCCCGTCCATCTGTGCCCCCCATCGCCCTCTTTGGATAGAGAGCGTGCAACAGTACGCTTCACCACCTCTCTCTCTCTCTCTCTTTCTCTCTCTCTCTCTCTCTCTCTCTCTCTCTCTCACTCGCTCTCTCGCACATTTAACGTTGTCGATTATTATCAGTGCTGTCGTTAATTGTTTAGATAGACTGCGCGGCAAATCGTGGTGGATCCATGGAAGGCACATTGGAAGAACCCCCTACTAAGGACTCTTCTCGGAGCAGTCCTGACAAACATCTGAAAGGTAAGCACCGTTCCCTACTTTGGTAGCTAGATTTTGGTATTAAAGCTTCTAGATGAATGATTGCTGAATGATCTCTGCTGCTTAGAACTGTCTGGATTAGAGATATCTTGTTATTAGAATTCTCTGCACTTTTTATTGTGTTACACTGATTCAATGGTAATAACATTGTAGACTAATCCACTTATCACTGGCTGTAAGTGATAATTATACATGACATTGTGCTTCACTTGTATAGTATCAATTATTATTAATTTGAAAGTTTCTTGTAGAAAAATGGTTTGAGGAATTACATCTCCACTTCTGTATAATTTGGGTATGTGTGTGCTTAATGATTATAGTGATCTGTATAGAGTAGAGGCATGTAGTATATACTTATAGTATAGGAGTTGTGTAATATACTAACATCTTATGCAGCTTTGTGAAAATGATTACATGAGCTCTTTTGGCTTGAAATATGAACAAAAATGTCAATAGACAGTTTTATGTTATAATTGTGCAGAAACATTAGTCATATTTTGAAGATAATAACTTTAGAAATATTTTCTCAATAAAGTGCATCTTGTTTTTAATTGTGGTATAAATTTTCTTGTGATATTTCTTGATTTAAAATTATATACATAGTAAATAGCAATCACTTCTATTAAGAATATGTCACAATTGCTTGCAGATATAGTTATACCAAACGGAGTCAATGGGAGCTATAGTGCTGACAACGAAGAGTATATGGATACCAGTGACAATACTAACAAAACTCTGTCACAAGAGATGGTCACAGAAGAGGAAGAGGCTGAGGCTGAGGAAGAAGATGGAGACGAAGAGGATAACGAGGATGATGATCATGAGAGTCAGGATGGAGATGAGGAAGGTAGTGAGAGAAAAGATGCAATAGATAATAGTAATAAGGAGGGTGAAACGGATCAGCCCAAAAATGACTTTAATATAATGAAATCGTCCGACGGTGTCAGTGAGACGAACAATTCTAGTGAAGTGTCTAAAACTGAAGCCAAGTGTAAAACCACCACATCTTGTGACGAGGCTATAGAAGTAGACGAACAGAGCAACAACTCTGACGTAGAGTGTCTCGACGAGAGCATTACAGAAATACAATTGGATAATGACGATGTGTTCATTTCAAAGAAAACTGCTGAAAAACAAGACAATGCTGATTTGTCGAGTAATAGCGATGTACAACAATTAAACGACAGTAGCGAAATGGCTGACAGCAGTTTGGAGATTTCGGATATCAAGCTCTGCGAAGAAAATGGTAGCTGCGACAGTCCCGATATCGAAGAGATAACCGACAATGCGAAGAACAACAGTCATAATGCGTCAGTAGAACGTGCTATTAAGGATCCCACGAAACAGCGGAAACCACGTAAACAATTAGATCTTAGTAGTATCACGCCGAGAAGAAGTTCGCGCAACATCAAACGAACGAGTTACATAGAGAAAGAAGTCGAAGAGGAAGTGGAAGACGACGGGTCTGACATAGAAGAGATCAAGCCGGAGGATCCATTAGCCGGTATCGATAGTAAGGACAAGGAGAATTCGAAATTGAAGTCACCGATCAAGAATAGCAGCAAAACCACCATCGTCGTGAACGATACTAAGCGTTTGGTGGAGATAGCTGCTGGTAGCAAATCCATGAAGGGCGGAAAGAAGGAACCTACGTTAGTTATAATAGACACTAACTCTATTCTTTCGGGACGCGGTGGAGTGCCTGTAAGTAACAGCAAACCTCACCACTCTGTCTCTAACTCCAGTCCCTTCTCGGTAGTACCAATGGGTATGGGGCAAACGCAAACTATGTATCCTAATATGAGAACAACTATCACGCCAGTTCCCATGACTTCGAAAACGGCGCAGTTGAGCCCGAAGACCAGCAGTATGACCACAGTTACGCCGACGGTACCACCGATTTTGCCGACGCTGACTGACGATATGTTCGTGGTCGAGGCGCCATCCTTCATAGTACCTTATGTGTACGAGAAACCGCCTCTGAAGCCACTGAAAGAATTCGTCTCTAAATTGGAAAAGAGCATCGAGGAGCGGGAGAAGGAAGAAAAACTGAAGAGAAATACTGAAGAGAACAAAGAAGGAAACGAAGAGCAAAGAGAAGATTCTTCAGACGCTACTAAGAAGGCCAGCGAGAAGTCTGAGGAGAGCGAAAGTGAGGGAAGAAGCAAGAAGGATATGGAAGACAGAGCAGTTGACAATTCAGTAGACTTGGCCGAACACGGATTTAGTAGTTTAGGTGATAAGAATGATCATCTGCGGCAAGAAGACAGGAACAAAATACCGACATACTTCGATTTGCCGCTAGGTAAATTCTTCATACAAATTGGAACGAGCCTAGTTCAGGAATATGTGCAAACCGATCTCTTACGAACTCAAAAGCGCAAACAAGGCAAGGGCAGCACGTCGGCCGAGACTCAATTAGCTATAAACTCGCTTATCAAGAATTTAGAATTTAGTAAAGAGAACAATGAACCATTCCACTTAGAGATGAAGAAATGCGAATTCTGTAGTTTTAAAACGGAATCGACCTTAGTCATGCAGCATCATCTAGAAACACCGCATATGCGCAATTACGTTTACAAGTGTAACTTTTGTCCGATCGAGGTGCGTAGCCCTCATGATATTCTCTTTCACATGGAGGCGGAGCATAACACTCGCGGTAGATTGGAACGCGGTCCAGCCTTCCATCAGTGCCCGAACTGTCCGTTTGAGGACAATCAGAAAGGCAAATTGACGCGACACATTCTCGCCTGCACCAAAAAATTCCGACCGGAACGGAATCTGGAACCATCTGCAGATTGGGAGCCACCAGCGAAGATACCGAGACTGAATCGTGCAAGACCTGTTGGGCCGACTAATCCGAACGCTCTCGCTGCAATGGCAATGAGTGCCAAAGGCCCACAACCGTTATTGCCGAAGTTGCTTCCTGCGCCGATTACCGGTCGTGGAAGAGGACGACCACCCATGCAACCAAGATACTCCGAATTGAAAACACTGCGGCCAGGCGCTGCTGCAATACGGCAAGGTGAGGCAAATTGTTATTAAAAGAGAAGGGAATATAACATAATAATAATGCGAACATTTCCTTCTCGCTGTGAGCCTTTATTTGCCGACGATATTGATGTAAGTTGTATTTCAGATAATGTTGCAGGAATGATGTATCGTCCTACATCCTCCGGTTTATTGGTACCGACGTCATACCAATTTGGTAGTAATCAAATATTCCAGGTAAAAACATAGCATTTATTTCTTTATGTAGTATGTATGCGCTGTGTGCACATGCAGACACTGATAGGCGTGTAGTGGCGAGCGTGATGACATGAAGTATAATTCTCGCTTAGTGAGGTCGAAAGGATATACTTCAGAGTTTGTGTAATTTAAAATTTGATTTGTATTGTAAATCTGCATATTCATCGTTATGTTATGACATTATACACACATATATACCCACATGCACACAGTTAAATATTATGATTTGTAGATCACCATATTTTCATATTTATTTATCGTAAAATCGAAATATATGCTTATACTAACATACAAGGGCGATGATAATCGTGAAAAGTCATGCCCTTTAAATTTGAAAAAACTGCAATATCACACACTGCATAAAAATAAAATGAACTATACACACACACACACACACACACATCTTAAGCATTCAGTGTATTCATTAAACTGTGTTTACATATTATTAAGCTACACTACACATACTATTGTTGGTCGCATTTTCTTGATGTGCATATCATTTGTTTTGTTATGAATTAATATCTACACAACAATTATCGGTAAAATCTAGGCAGGATCATATACTGCGTTGAAAGTTAAAGTATAGGCGTAAAATACAAGATGGGGTGAAAGAAAAATGAGGATAGACGAGTTAATTTTTACTTATTAAATGTTTCCTCTCAGTATTGATATTATGAACCTTTTACATAAGAAATGTGCAAAATTTTGTGTATTAATTTGAAAAATCACCTCTCTCTCGGGGTATTGAAATTTACACATAATATATTTTATGACTGATATCTTACGTCTTTATTGCAACAATAGAGAAGAGAATATAAATCACACCGATCTTTAGATCGTATCGATTATCTTGTTTCTAGTAACGATGTTTGCGAATGTGTGTACACACACTCGAAATATCACACTTTAAATAGACCGAAAGCTCCAAGAACTAGTAAAAAAGATATATGGGTGGTGGCAGGTGGTGGGTGGCTCTGGGACTGTCATGTCGGCTGTCTCGGGAGTGAGTAGCAGTAGCGGCGGCAGTTCCGGTCAACCCACACCAATTGCACTTGTACCCAACGTAATCGACTCTCTGTCTAGGTTGTCCTCATCACAGGTAAATAATTATTGGAAAGTACCAGTGGGAGAATACTCTGATCTCGTGATATTTGTGACCGCATGCGACAATGTGTTGTTTCGCAGGTGCAAACAGGCTTTTAACATTCTTCAACTCCAATTAAATGCGTTTATAGCCGCTTATGAATCTTAACATTATGCACAACGATGTAAATTCCCCGCCTAATTTACTTTCGCAGGCCAGTTATTTCTCCGTAATTGTATACGCATATACACACAATATCTGAAAAAGAAACCTTTATGCATACGTGTTTACATTTTTTATCTTTATTGTTTATCCTTTTGTTCTTTTATACAACAGTACACTACTACACATCTATAAAACAGCAAGCGTTAAATTTTTATTAACTGTTATACATATAACTCCCTTATTAACATTGAAAGTATCCAATTCATCTTAATTTTTTAATAAAAGAATAAAGAAATATATACACCTAAATCTACACACGAGCACGTTTTACACATATGTGAAAACGAAACAATCTAACAAATGTATACGACTTTGACTGAAGGTCCGATTTTCAGGTGGATATTACTAATACAAAAATATTTATCGATATATATAATTTATAAGAATAACAAAATATTGGCTCGAAATATGTGTATACCCTGAATAACATAGATACTTTATATTTTTCAGAACACAACATCCAACCCCAAGAACCCTACAGCGAAGCTGTTAAGTCAGCCAAGTATATCTATCACTCCACTACCACGCACGACATCTCAAACCTCCATTCCAGGATCAGGTACTTCTGCGAAATCTGGAGGGAAAAGTTCATTTGTCATATGTGAAATTTGTGACGGATATATTAAGGTAGGTGTGGCGATATGTTCTTTACGTTTAACGTTAACTATATCCAGAATTGCGCATACGTTAAAAGAAGATAAATATAGAAAGAATTTATCTAATTTGTAACAATAAATTGTCATAAGTAAGTTGCAAATATATCACGACTCGAATTACGTTTATAATTACAAATGAATCTTGTCAATATATTGTACCATACGTAATAATATGCATATTTTTTCGAAGAACGCATACTGAGTTCTGTCATATTTATTTTAGGATCTAGAGCAGCTACGAAATCACATGCAATGGATCCATAAAGTAAAAATACATCCAAAGATGATCTACAACAGACCTCCATTAAACTGCCAGAAATGCCAATTTCGATTTTTCACAGATCAGGTATAAAGAAAATTTAAACAATTAATAGAGTAACTAATTAATAGAGTAACAATTAATAGAGTAACTAATGACTCCGTATTTCAGTCTTTATGTAATCATTTGGATATGCATGAATGTTAGACAATCGTTACTGCTTGTTGTAAAAATCTGCACACACATTTACCAATTATCCTCGAAGATTAATATTGCGTCCTTTTTATAATAGGGTTTGGAAAGACACTTACTGGGATCTCATGGACTTGTCACGTCCAGCATGCAAGATGCGGCAAATAAAGGAAAGGATGCAGGCCGTTGTCCATCCTGTGGCAGAGTAAGTTTATCTTTCTAACATTGAAGTAGTTAAGATCTCTGATCTTCGAGGAAGAAAGTATAAACGGAGATGCGCACGAATGACGGGACTTTATTAACAGCTAATGAACATTGCTTTCCAGGTATATCAATGGAAATTATTAAATCACGTTGCTCGAGACCACGGGATGACATTAAAGCCAGCACATCTGTCGTATAAATGTACAGTCTGCACTGCCACGTTCGGTATGTACAAGCAATTCGAAAATCATGTATATTCGGCACATAGTGTCGTGGCGAAGAGAGTGATGGACAAGAAAAACGCACCGGCATCACCATCGTCTAGATCCAACGATTCTCTTCTAAAACCGCTGAAAATCAATGATGAAATCACGATTATTCCGCAACCGGCGAAACCCACAACCAGATCCGGCGCGACTCAAGGCAGAGGAAAATAGCAATGATGAGCTTGAGTGATACTTGTGTCTCATCTGGTCGAATTTCGCATAACTCTTTGTGGTACTCTCCATGCCGATCGTCGTAAACGTATGGCGATCAACGTGCCGTGTACATGTGTATGTATACTATTGCTTAAGACGCAAAACACGACATCTAAAGGAAAAAAGAAAGGAAAAGAAATCAATTACGACTACTCGCGACAAGAACTAGTTGACTTCGTAATAATATTCCATCAATGATTATACCGATATATTTATTTAAGAATTTTTATTGTTGTTATCGGACCTACATAAAAATAGACTGTAAAAACATTAAAGGGTGGCCTTCAGTCTAACTCCTTGGTTAATCCTTATATAGCAGCGTACTCCCGACCTGTGTAACGCCTATGTGTGTGTAACGGACTCTCGTGAAATACCAAGTGTATCTACACATTCGATGTGTGACGCATAACATGTCACGCCGCAGTGCAGATTACTCTCTTTCTCTCTCTCTCTCTCTCTCTCTCTCTTTCTCTCTATTTCTCTTGCATAATGAATCCTCTATAATGTGTAAATTCTTTTTCTAAGATAAATATATTCGAATTTATTCTATTTTGTTATTATGATCGCAAACTGCGAGCTATCCGGGACAATGGATTGAAAGCTGTCCTCTTACTTAATCTCCGATTTGATAAGTCGATAAACATCATGTCTGCGAAACAGCTTCCGAGCGATTTACGAAGTGACAAATTGTATTAATTGACCAGAGTGCCCTCGACTGTCTCGCGAATCTATAGTACACAGGTACTAACGACAAATGTATACTATCTACTTGTATGGATCTTCCGATCGTATACATACTTTCATTTCGTCATATGTGTCTGGATGAACAGTTATCGAAATTGCTCTCATACTCTTATTTATGACACTTTATTACATGAAAAAAAAAAATATTAATTTATAATGTACAACATGAGCAGTCCTCCTTTTTTTAATCGGACTTGTAAATTGTATGTATTACTAAGTTTGACCCTTTAGTCTCGCGTAATATGCTAAGACAGAAAATATCCAATTTTATTTTCTGCGCTCTTAATAAGAACAACAAAAATGTACATTAACATAGGATATATAATATAAAGAAATATATCAATAAAATAGGATGGCACACACTCGTGTATACATTTTTTCTGATAAACGATAAACGTGAATATAAAACGGAGTATTGGACTTAGCACACAAGTGACGTATAACTACGTATTTATATATATATATATAAATATATATATATATATATATATATATATATATATATATATATATATATATATATATA